TTTATTATTATTATTATTATTATTATTATTGTGTTTGTGTTCTTCCTCTCCGTTTTTTAATTTGTGCTGCTTATTTGTTATGGTGTAATAAAATGTTGTCAAGCACTTCTTAATTTGCTTTTGAATGGACCTATAAATTAGGGTTCAATTCCATGGTGTATCTACCCCATCATGTGTAGATCTCTTAAGGTCTTGACAAAATTGCAATGAAGGAGTAGTACCAATATGTTTTTTAGGGTTTTTTTGTGCTTTTTTATTATTCCAATATCTCTATATCTTCATTATTACTAAAATTACAGTGAAGGATTGGCCTCTCTCGCTCTATCTCACATTTTCAGTCTCTCCTACTAGTTTTTGGGTTCGATAGTCATTGAATAATCTCCCTTCACCATCGTAGTATTCACAATGTAGTCTCTCTCTTGTCACATTATCTGTGAAATGCATCATTTATTTAACTGGTTTACTAAATTTTTATTTTTTTTATGGCTTGATAACATTCTATACAAATAGATCGTATTCCCTGCATCACTATTGTATTACACTTCTAGGCAATTTTTTTGATTATCTAGTGCCTCATGGTTATGCGGTTTGGGAGTTGTTTGTCATTTTTTATGTATTGCCTCATGGTTATATACATTTAGGTGCCATTAAAAAATGTCTATATATGTATCTCTCTCTCATTATCTCTTTGTTCAATGCTATTGTGTCACTATTTCAAAGGAAATAAACTTATTTTTTGTAATGTACTAGTGTGGTGCCAATATGGAATGGTTAGCTTTCTAACTTTTAAATATCTATTTCTCAAATAAATGATATATATTTGCTCTTTCATTTTATGGTTTGAATAATTTTTCAAGGAAAATGGGGAAAAGGAGTTTTATATGTTGGATATGTTTAAATTGCCTCATGCCCTTCATATGAAGTGTCACTGCTGCTTGAGTTTTCCTCATGGAGGGGAGCATTGTTTTACCCATTAAGGGGAAGGTGAAGTTATCAGGTGAGATGTTTTCGTGTAACATGTGGGCGTAGAGAGAGAGCATTAAATGGTGATGGACTTGATGACAATATTCTTCAATGTTTATGTAAATATTGGTACTCCTTGAATCTATTTATATTTTTGGTAATATGTTGGATGAATGGAAGGAAACTTATTTAATTACAAAATATTGTTTAAAAACTACATTTCACACATCATATCAATGAAATATATAATTAACAGTATTACAAGTTTATCAAACAGGTTTCCAGCTTTCACCCTACCAATTTTCACCTTACCACTTTTCACCTTACCAAATTTCACCTCTCTTCCAGAATCTAGTAAGTTAGCAGTGGAGGTGATTTTCAGGGATACTGCAGTGAAAGTTATCAAACACTAACAAAGTGTTATCATTTCCAACCTTTTATTCTCTTTTTCATTTTAGGAAAAAATTATGTAAGTGCGAGGCCCAAAATCAAATTAAGGCGCACATCAAAACTCACTAAAAGAAGTTGTTTTGATGTCCAAATATTCCTCAAATTGATCATCTCGACCTCAAGATGCATAGACACGAGAAAAAATGGATTTCAAGTCCTGGAAATAGTCTATCTTGTCATACCGTCAATTTTCAAGTGTTCATAGATATGCTTGATTTGCATTCTTTTTTAAGCTTTAAATTTTATAATTATATATGAAAATAAATTTTCAAGCCATCACCAAGATTTTCAGTATTGAAATAACATCTTTCAACACTATTTGAAGGGCCGCCCTACTTTGATTGTTTAGGGCCTCGGCGTTATACAAACCGCACCCTTAGTTTTATTGTGGATTGAGCTTAGTTTTAGCTAACAAGAGTTTTCATAACCGTTACACAAAATGCAAAATGAAAGAATTTTTGGGGCCTCAAAATGCCTATTTTCTCTCTCTAATTAAAGTATATGGGTAAGAAAGGAGGACCTTTTGGGGCCTCAAAATGCCTATTTTCTCTCTCTAATTAAAGTATACTCTCCCGTTTTAGCCTTTAAAAGGCTTTCCTTTGATATTACTTGCTCTCAAACGACAATAGAAGGGCTTTGGGTTCCATAGCAAGGTCAAGGCCAGGTAAAAGAATTTCACCTTTTATCACCTATTTGTGGCAGAGTTTGCATACTGTGCTAGCACTTGGGTTTGAACAGTATGCGAGCAGCTTTTTCTAAACATTGGATGGTTGTGGTGCGTGGTTCAACTTGAGATTGGGATCGACACATCCCAACCATCCATTGGGGAGATAACCGAAATACTAGCAAAAATGCATTTCCCCATCATGATATGGCTTTTTTTATGGAAAAAGTTTATATAAAGTTGACACTTTAAAATGTAGAATTAAGATGTAACTCTAAAATCCTTAAAAAAATATTGTTTTGATGTTGGAAAAGCATCTAATTGATCATCTCAATGTCGATATATATATATATATATATATATATATAATA